CTTTTTTTTCCCCCCCCCCCCCCCCGAAGAGTTGTAAAAGCAAAGATGTCAACCATGTTACATGTATCTGAATGTCTTGATATATGTAGTTTAATGTTTTGTAGGATTCATTTGACTTATTTTCCATTAACATGATTCCTTTCATCTTGAGGACTGAGCAGCTTAGTGCAGGCATGTACCTGTGTGTCTGTGTATCACGTGTGTGCTCCCGAGCTACATGGGTGAGAGCAAGATGAACATTTGGTTTGCTACATTCTTTGGAATTTCTCAGGGTAGAAGGGCTGGGAAGTGGCAGATGTTACTACACTGTGTACATCCTGGTGTAACTGTGTGTTAAGTTCAGACCCGCCATATTCAGGCCCCAGTGTTAACAGACCCTCACTTCCCTGGGAGTCTGAAGCTGTGGAATAGGTACTTAATCCACAAGATGGTTGTATTTCAGTCTGCTCAGAGGAGCTTCTGAGAGAGCATTCTTTCTAATCCCCACCCATATCTGACCTGTTCTAGCTCGTTTTTAAAAGCTGCACCCAGCCAGGCCCTAGATCCCTGCAGAAGGTTTCTGCACATCTTTTCCTGCTTGCTGAGCTCATTTGAACAGGGAACCCACACATCAGTGAATGGGATTCCTGTATAAATTTGCCTCGTTTGCAAAATTGGAATTGATTTAGAGCATCTCTGATCCTTACGAAACCCAGAAGACATGAACGTGGCTAGATGTGCTTTTTTTTTCCCCTTCCTTTTGAAGTTTAAAACATGCTTAGCAAATCTGATGTTTGCAGTCTCTGGTCCCCACCTGATGTGCAAAAATGCAAAGGTCCTTCCAGAAGCATGGGTCAGACTAACCTTTGTGCTGATGCTGCAAGGTGGATTGCAAGGATGTGGGCAGTTTTTGTTATGAACTTGACTCTACTTAGTCTAGAAGATACTTGCAATGTAGGTCTAACAAATGTTGGGGTTTTTTAATGTGCAATAATTCAATCTGTGAATCAAGCAGCCCCTGTGCCCTACCCCCTGCTGCTGCTGACAGCCTCTTCCCACACTTCTTCCTTGGTAGCATTGTTTGACTGTTCCAGCTCCAGTAGGTTTCAGTTACTGATCAGTGTAATTGCAATAACACACCAATAATAAAAGAGGAATTTAAGCTTCCTTTTCTTGTAGTTGAAGGCTCTTCTCCTGCGAAAGCTTGAAGTCTTAATAGCAGTCACACGAGCAACATCCCGCGCTTGTCAAGTGTTTGCAAAACTGGGTGGCCGTATTGCAGGAAGATAAAGGGCTGGATTTTGGGAACTTGGAAACAGCCCAATCCTATCAGGCAGCATTGGTACAGCTAATATTAGAATGGGAAACTCTGGGGACGGCTTAACATTTTAGTGGATGCCAAGGAAGCCTTGAATAGGAATGCATTGAAAGTTGCTTGTTGTATAACACGAGTTGCTGGAGTCAGAGTAATTCGAGTTGCTTTTAGTCTGGTGGAAAACTACAGCTGTGAGCAATGAGTTAATTTTTTCCTTGTGTGTGTGTGTGTGGCTTAGGTTTCCCTTTCGGGTTTGCTTTTAGTTTTGTAGGCTCTGAATCCATAGAGGAGTGACTGTGAACCAGTCGTTTGTCTTCCTGTGCTATGCCAGGCTGCTGCTGAACAGCTCTGCAGCTAGTGATGGGTTAAATAGAACACCTTAAAAATGCGAAGTGGTTATGGGGCTGAGCTGTAGCAGCTCCTTCTGCTTTGTATACAAGAAAGCCACCGGCTGTTCTTCCTGCCTGAACGTTTCCTACGGAAGGGGGGGGGGGCGGTTAATGAAGGAAAAAAAAATACTGAAAAGGACTAAAGAGCAAAATATCCTTTCCCAGTCTGGGAGGGCTGCTTGGTCGATGCAGCCCACCCCGCGCTGCTGGCCCTGCGGGACGCCTTGCCGGGGTGGCCGGGGCATCGCCGGCCAGGCGCGGCGCGGCGTCGCACCGAGGCTGGGTGGAGGCTCGGCTCGGCTCGGCTCGGCCCGGCCCG